GGTTACTTGTATTTCAGAGGAGGCAGTATGGTTCATAAAGCAGATGGCACAGGAAGGATTGCTCAGAGAAAGTTTAGACTTAGTAAAATCTCAAAAATCAGATTAAGAAGACAGATGGGATTCTGGATTGGAATGCTAACGTGTACGAGGTTTTTTTGTCTTCTTTTATTTCATTTTCCCAAATTATAACCTTGGAGATGCTGGGGGGTTTTATATAGCTGACAATAAATTTAGTACTAGAAAACTGGGAGTCGCTCTTAAGCAGCTGTTTTACTATAACTGGTAGTTTTGGTTTGTGCTTGTTTATAAAACAAGTAAGATGTGATTACTGAAAGAAGACAAAGGAATATAACTATAAGAAGATAGATTTAGGCTAGACTTACTTGCTTGAGCAGACACATGCAGCAACCTTGATCTCTGTGGGGAATGTAACTCTGCATTTGCTATTTTCCCTCTAACCTCCTTTTCCCACTTTGCTTTGGAATTCTTGAAGCTGCAGTTGCAGGGTTTCCCAGATGGCTTGCACTACTTAACATTTGCGAGTGGCCCATTCCTAGCTGTGCTTTCGGACAGGGTCACACAGTCTTTTTGCACATCCAGACAGGGTATCTTTGCCCACGACTTATCTCCTGGAAATGAATGGTTAACATAAGTAACTCTTGCTTTGGACATGAAACATTCCTGCAGGGATGTAATGGCAGGACATGCGCTGGCACTGCAGACAAATTACTCTGGCTTCACCTGTGCCCACCTGCGTTGTGCCAACAGGGAGCCACGTGCCAGACAGCGCAGGTCTGCGAGAGTCACGTTCACACCATCCTGCTCAGGAGCCGGGTGTATTGGACAGGGCTGTCGGCTCAGGCATGGCCTGTCCTGAGTGTGGCTGGCCTGTCTGGGGAGGTGAGAGAGATCACGCTGCTCTGGGTGAACTCATCAGTCTGGGGTCCATCACCTCAGCCATCTCTGCTTTGCTCTGTGGTGAGGAAACATCAGCACCATGCACCTTTACGTCCCCTTCCTTCCTCCAGGACCTCACTAGTAGCACAGACCAAAGCTCTTTCAGAACTTAGTTATTGAATATTCCTGCTGTAGTAAATAACAGAAGGCACAACAGTGTCACAAATCTGTGGAAGAAGGAAGCACGCTTCTCTTCAGCAGTTCATGTTCTCCGAGTTCATCTTCTGCAGTGCTTTCGGTTCCCTGCCTCCATCTTGTTCCCCGCTTACTGCAGATGTCTGTCCTTCTCTGAGTCCATGTGTCTTTAATTCTGTGTGAGCTCCTTGCTGTGGTAGGCTGTAAAACTCAAGAATAATGTATCTGCTTTATCCCTACTGTTTTGCTGAGAGCACCAACTAAAAAGTTTGCCAGATATTTTAAAGACTCTATTCCTTAGCTAATAAGGAGTCTTCTAAGCAGCTTTTTCTAATTAAATACTTCTTTTAGTATACCTAATGCTTCGGTCTAAGACCTCTGTATTAATGTAGGTCAGACTGGTCTTGGATCACTTGCTGTCCTTACTCTGCTCTCTTCTTTCCCTTCTTTAGTCCTCCTGTTCCTCAAGAAGTGCCTGAATATCTCCTAACAATTCTGAAACTTACTGCATAGCTTTAAGTTTTCATAGTAGGCTATCTTCATAGATGCTTCTCATTACTCTTGCTGTTTGAGAGGAGGTTTTCTTCAACAATTTCTCTCCAGTTTAAAGCTTGTAATCATTCTGTTGCTGTGGAAATTACTGTGATAATGCAGGTTTAGCGTTCATGACTTCACTGCTGCATTAGATAAGAAGAAAAAGGAGCTGTTGCGTGGGAGAAAGCCCTGAATTAAGCAAGTTGTATACATTTCACACGTATGTCAGGGAAGATAACACATGAAAAGGAATTAGGGTTGTTCAGGCTGCTAGGATTTTCTCTATCTTCTCAGGAAAAAACAAGTCTAAATACTAAAAAGGAGGCGAAAAAAAGCCCAGCGTCTGATCTAGGGACTGTAGTTTGGAACAACAGTTCCAGTCTGTTGCTTTTCAGGATATCAGTCCTCCAATTTGGGTGATGGCCTTTGTGGTTTCTGTTTGGAAATAGGATTTTGGAAACCCTTATCCTTCCTTTTCAGAAAGAGAGAAGGATGCAGACAGAAGCCCTTATATAGCTGTAGAGTGAAGGACAAAGGAATTTCCTACTGGAGACACCCATGGCTAGCTCTCTTGTTCAGGAAGAGAGCTGGGTTTGTGTACACAGGAAAACTTTTGTTTGTCAGTCTCTCTCTTGATCAATTTTAGTAGTAGTCTCTATTCTAGAATTGTGGATGTCTATAAGGAACTAAACAGATGTGATGCTTCTGTTGTTTTCTTATCCTCTTCCTTGATTAGTATTTAATATTTCAGAGCTCCTTGATTCCTTCTTATATGTGGTTGTTTTAGGAAAGGCTAAACTTTCATGTTACAGAAATTGCTAACCACAATGTTCAGCTTGTCCTGTTTCTTTGCTTTTTATTTAATGCATGACCCATTATTCTTAACCGCATCTGTTCTTCAGCGTTCTTTGCTAGGCAATACAAAGTGGGAAACATTAACAGCACAGCGATCTGGCTTTGGATCTAAGCATATTGTTCCTGCACATTTTGAAAACAAAAATTTATATTGGTTTTTGCCCTCACATTTGTAAATACATGTACAGTTTGTAAATACATAAATACATATGCATTCCTCCTTTGATTAATGTGGCTGCCTTTCACATGCACAAGATTTCACAAGTTGCTTGGTGGTCAAGACAAGTTTTCTAAGGAGGCATTCTGTACGTACACACCAGAGTGTATGGACACTTGTTTTCAACATATGTTGTTTTCTTTGACTACTAAATGCAAAACTGGGAACAAGTCCAGAATCTTTAATAGCTAGAATATATTTCATGCTGATCTCCTCTAAATGGGCATCTTCCATTGCCAAGTTCTAAAGTGAGGGCTGTGGTGATGATGAACTTCTCTAATGGGGTTTTTGTTCAGGCCTGCCTGATATTTATATTTTCTGTACTGTAGGATTCAGAGAGAAGGTCTCTGCTTACGAAAGGGCTTGATATCTTTCTGGCTGAAAGGCCCCTAGGACAGAGGTGCTGATATTTTTATATTAGATTCTGACATCCTTTAAAATTTTGTATTGTTACAGTATGTTTCTCAGCATGCTCAGTTGTGTCATTTCACTATTGAAATTTACAACAGAGATTTTGTGAAGTTCTTTGTGTTGTTCTTGGTGTTATGTCTTTCTGGCTTAGGGCTTACACCAAAATAAGTTCTTAAAATCATAACGCACAGTAGTAAGGTAACAGCTGTATCACCAATGCTGTTCTGTAGAAACCAAAGTATTGGTTTTAAATAAGTATGAAGAGGAGATCATGTTCTCTTTTTTGGGCAGCACATGAAGAAATGAGTTGCACATGGAGCGTGAGCATCTTGCTTGTTAGTGGCTGAATTCCCCTGATACAAAAACAGAGTTTGCAAGATATCCTCTGCTACCTTGGGGAATGGAGCATGCTGAGGTAGGGGACTTCATGTGAAAGTACAGAATTTCCAAAGATGAGAGAGAGAACAAGAGAAAGAGGAGAGTGGGAGGGGAGAGAAGAGAGAGAGGGAGGTAGGTACTCATTTAGGAGAACGAGGCGGCTGTAAATGAAAAAATCCAAGGAGTGGCTTGGTGGAGGCATTGGACTGTTGCTGAGTCTTTTCAACACAGCATTGCATTTAAGTCATAGTTATTGAAGAAAGACAACAGCTGCTACTTTAGAGCATGAAGCAGAGGAACTGTTGGAGGGGCAGAAAAATAATCGTAGATGTGGAGGAATGCCTTCCAGAGGGACTGTCTTGCACAAGCCACTCCGCTTTATGTAACAAAAGCCTGGTGACACAGTGCATGGTTTAGTCATAGGAGTGCCCCAGAGTGAACAAATATTGTACATCTGGAAACATTTAAACAAGTAATTAGTTTCTGGAAAAACAGCAAATTACTCAAGGAAAATGTAGTCCATTGTGTTAGCTTCTGACTGCGTCTCTACAAGACACATGGTTCTCCTGACTGCCTTAACCATCACGTTGTTGCTTCTTATACCCACCAGCTTTACATGGGGACAGGCAATATGGTAGTGTCAGGGGTGACAAGCAGATATCACTAAGTGCGGTGGCATTTTTGCCCCTTTGGGAAAAGGGCCAGTGAACAGGGAGGCAGGGGGAGGTGTTCCTCTCTCGCTCACTGCTAGTACACTGCATCCCACCTAGTCGTCCTGTGCTTTGAGGACAAGGACCTGATCCTGTGGGATTTCATCACCTCAGTTAGGCATCACCAAGGAAGTCCTGTGCCAGCCGGGGCAGTCTCTCCCACCAGCGTTCAAAATCTCTGACTGTAACACAGCCTGCTCAGTTGCCTGCTTTCTCCCTGGGCTTCCATCACAGCAGATTTCCTCTGTTCCTTTACTACAGAAAGAGAGAAGTATTTGGGGGAAGAGGTGAGGGAGCACAGCCCACTTCCAGCCTTTCCCGCTCCCCACTGCTGGTGGAGAAGGCTGGCTGGAGAAGAGACACAGCAAGGCAGGGACCTTACAGAGAGTTATGATGCCGTGACTAATACGCGATGTTTGATAGCATATGCATTTAGAATTATGATGCTACTGCAAGTTCGACTTGTTACCCATCAAAGGGAGTATTGCCTGCCCCTGGCGATGTGCTGCCCAGCTGCATGTGGGTCGTAGGTGGAATGCAGATGCCTCCACAGCTGGAGTGAGCAGTAGGGCAGTAATTCAGGACCTGGTCTGGCTTGTGGCAGAAACTGCAGTGTCTCTAAAGAGTCACTGCCCCAAATGGAGAACTGCAGGCCAGGACAAGAGGTCACACTTGGCACTGAAGTGTCAGAGGTTAGCACTGAACCCCGTGTCTTTTGGTTGTTGGTGTGCTAGCATGTTCTAACTGCTGCCTCCTGCAGAAGCTTTGCGGATGGTAATTGCTGTGGTTGTTTGTCATTACAGAAGTAACGCTGAAGGTCCATGTAAGCGATGCCAGCACACATCAGCCAGTAACTGAAGCCTTCATTGAGATTTTTACCAACCAGATCTCCATTGCATCTGGAACCTCAGGAGCAGATGGCACTGCCTTCCTCAAGTTTCAGTATAAGTTGGGCAATCAGCTGATAGTGACTGCTAGTAAACATGCATATGTGCCAAATTCTGCACCATGGAAACCTGTAAGATTGCCTGGTAAGAGATCTTTATTTTTGTTCTGAGGTAAGATTTTGCATCTAAAGGAAGTTACACAATTTTGTATGATGTGTTTTAATGCTTGCCATCCTGGGTGGGAGGAAGAACATCTGTGCGTTTCAGAAAAAGCAAGGTTTTTTCCTCAGTTAGGCTGTGGCATCGAGGCTGTGCAGAGATTCACTGTCTTCCTGGCTGTCCTTACTACAGTGCTATGTCAGGTTTCGAACAACTGTTGGTGCCCTTACAGCTCCACAGAAAATAGAAATCTATTCCAGATCTTTTTCTTTATGGGAACTCTGTTTTTAAGTGGTTTGTTTCAGCAGCTGTGATGTACTCATTCGTTTCTCTCCCAAGGTGTAACAACAACTGTTGCACTGTAGGCTGTAGTGTACAAAAAAAGTCCTGGCCTTGCAGTTCTTGGCCATGTCCATAGGACAGTTTTAAGCTGCAGTTATGTTATCCAGATGTAAGGATTTTTTTCTAACTTAGTTAGCATTATTTGTTTCTTCCACAGGCAGACAAATGTAACAATAATACTCGCACATTAGTTTTTATCGGAATAGCTCAAAATTTTATGAGAAGTGGGAGACTTTACATTGGTTGTACAGTAGGGGAAACTGAGTCATGAAGATTATTTCTGTACTGCTAATCAGAACAGATTGAGAGTGGCTTTCAGACCTTGAGACGTGACATCTAAATGAGGATCACATCCTCAGTTTTCATCTGCCTTTCCTCTAATCCTCAGCAACGATTAGGGTCTGAGTTGTTTGAGAATGGTCCAAGGCTTGTATTATACCCAAATCACACCTAAATATCACCTCAGATTTGATAATTAGCCCAGGCTAAAGCCATGCCAGGTTTTAAGTGCACTAATATTTAAATACTATAGATGATCACAGGGCAGTGTTCAATCCCATGCCTTGGCTCCGTCTTGTTTATTAATATCAGCATAGCCAGAGGGACTGTGTGACTTGCTGCAAGGTCAAGCAGCAAATGTATTTTCAGTTGGAGAAAGGAACTTGAATCTCTTCATACCCAGAATTATGCTTTAGGCATTTCAACATGCTGTTTACTTATCTGCATTCGCTTACTTCAGATGAGATAGACTGACTTCTTCCACATTTCCTCTACTGTGTTCTGCCACATTTTCCAGCAGCTTAATGGAGCTATAGTGAAGTTGAAGCCAGGATCTTAGAATAAGAAGCAACTGAAATGAGTTGCAGCAAGGACAGTTTCAAATAATAAAAGGCAACAATTCTTTACAGCAGCAGTAGTCAAAGATTGGCCCGACAGGTTGCCCAGAAAGGTTGTGAAATGTCCATCTTTAAAGATATTCAAAGCTCAATTGGACACCCCTTGCTTGGTTGAAGCAGGTGACCTCCAGACGTCCCTTCCACAGAACCACAATTGTTCTGTGACTCTGTTTAGAAATTTCCTTGATGTTTTTTTCTGTTGAAGTAAGATGAGGTGCAGCTTCCTCAGCATACTTCATGAACTTCCTTTAGACACTATCATGTATGATGATTAAATGATACAGTAATCTTTTCTTGCCCAAACCTTTTCTTGCCTTGTGTCTCATATTTTTCTAACTCATTCCCTAGATCTTTTGAATGCAGCGTTCTCTCCCATGGCCTGCAGTTTGTTTAGTTACCTTTTGTGCATGTCACTTTTTCTTAGATATTGATTTTGAGGGGATGGAATCAAACATGGTGTTATTGTTTCGGTAAGTCATTGAAGTTTAAAGAGCAGTAATTGTACACAGTTTCCACAAAATCTTTCTTTCCACGACTGAAATGTGAACTTAACTCAGAAAATAGATTCCTTTCACCTCTGATCTTCCCCCACTGAAACTGGTAGATAGTTTACCATTGATTTAATTGGGAGTAGAATCCTTTATTTCGCTTTCTGTACCTTGAACTTAATCCTTTCTTTGGTTAAGAAAACAAGTTACAACTTGATACGTCCCATGTAGATTTAATAGGGTTGTTCATTGAATTACTCCTTAAAAGCGATATGACATAAAAGTTCAGGCGCAAAATGCTTAGGCTGTTATTTTTTGTATTGATGTCTGTAGTCTTTAAAAAAAAATTTCCAGTAACTGTTTGTATTTAAATGCCCATCGTGCTTGTAACTAGCACAGTATAGAAGTTTTGGAAACCATGGAAGTTTTGTTGTTGTTGTTGTTATCTTTAATCTAGTTTGAATGATGGGGAACAGGCAGCATATTTACATCTTGATTCTGCAGTGTGCAGTCTGGGCAGCGGGATCCTTGTTTCCTGAAAATGCCATTTAACAGTACTAGTAGTTGTCACCCCACAGAGCAGCTACGCCATTCTGAGCAGCGATCTGCCACGGCAGCGGTCTAAGCTAATGTGCCATCCCGTGTGCTGTGGTAAATGAAGAATGGACACATTTACTTCAAACACCTCAATGTGGAAAATGTTTGAAAGCTATAGGCTGATAATGTTTAAAGTGCTCTAACAGGACTTTGTCGAAGGATCCGTATTCTTCCACCACAGCCAATATGCATTAGTTACTATCTTATGCTGAAAAGCTGTGCAGCCACTGAACTCGAGATATTATTGTGATAGCTTTAAGGAGTAAGCATCGAGGGTTTTCTTTTCTCATAAATGAACTTTTCTTATATTAACCAAAAAAATTACTAGCTCTTTACCACTTAAACAGGAGGATTATTTATTTACATAGTGATAAATGGTAGGAGGAAAAGATTAAGATCTCTTTTTCCATTAAACTATTTATCAGCAGAGCCATGACTCCACTTATTAACAATTCATTAATTTAACATCACTTGAGTTGTTGAAGTGTTCATGATGGAAGATGTGCTCATCTATCTGTTCTTGGCTGCGCATAGATTTTTCTTTGTAAATAATTTGGAATAAAGTCATGACTTTTAGTCCATATTTAAGAGACGTTTGGGAGAAGTGTGTGCAAAGAAGAGAGGGAATTTGCTGAGGCAGCACCATTCTGACCAGGTGGTAGGGTCAGTCAAAGCAAACCATGGTATTCACCATGGTGAAATGCAGTTCTAGGAGCAGAGGATGCTCATGGTATTTCTGGGAGAGGAGAGCTCGTCGGGAAAGCAGTGACTCTGCAGAAGACATGAGTCATGGTAGATGAATGGTTGAAAATAACTTCCCAGTGCAGCACTGCAGGAAAGCAGAATAATCTGTTCCTTAGCTGTAAAACAAGGAAAAGAGTGAGAATGCGGAGTGTAGTATTTCATAACTTGCCCTTGGTGCAGCCACTCAGGGAAATGTGTGTCCAGTTCTGGATCCACGCTTCAAGAAAAGTGTTTAGAACTGCAGGGTTATGTCAGGAGTGATTAAAAGATTGGAAAATATGGCTTACAGGGAAAGACTTGGAAGTGCTTAATTTATTTTGTTCACAGAGGGAAAGTTCATAGGGTAATTTGATCATGGTCCATCAATACCCACATAGAGAACAGGAAACGCGTAAGAGAATTCTTCTGTCTAGCGGGCTTGTATAAAAAGAAGATCAAATGGCTAGAAGTCTAACCTCAATAAATTTTGATGGGTAAAAAGGCACATAGTTTAACTGCCCTCATAATTATTTACTAGAACTTTGATGTTGTGGAGGAGTCTTCACCTTTAAAAGAAAATTGGATAGTTTTTCTACAACATTCATCCTAGTTTAAACGCAGCTATTGGATCTGAAGCAGTAGTTAATTCAGGGTAGGCTGTAGTTATATAAGAGTAAGGCTGGACCATCACAGTCATCCTTCTGGCCTTAAAAACTATGACTTTTCTGCCTTTGTCATGCTGAGAAAAAATTGTGCAGAAAAGCCCAGGGGAAGTTTAGAGGTTATATACGCATTGTAGTCTGGCATATATGGAACAAGATGTTGGCATGGTTTATTGTATTGAGCTCCCCAGGGTATCTGAATTATATTAGCTTTCTTCATACAAATTAAGTTGTTGGAATAAAGACAAACAAATTTTGTAATTGTGGCCTTAGTGCTACTTATACTAGGCATTCTTACTTCTGTTGCCTGATGCATAGATCTGTCTCACCTGTAGAGCATTTGAAAGAAAATTCTCAGCTGTACTTGCAATAACATGACTTTTTTTTATGATGTTCACATAATGTTGTTAAGACTATATTTTAGATGATGGTTCTTCTCAGTATGTTTCTCCTAATTTCTTCTCCTTTCTCCTGTATTTCTCCCAAACACTAAAATTTCTGACCTTTCAAAAGAGAACAGATTTCTTGAAACAGAAATAGTGTACAGTCTCCCTATTTGTTTCTAAGATTTGTATGATCTCTTGCATCAAGTACTACATATTAATTTAGAGGAAACGTATGAAGCTCCAGAAAATCAGAAGAAAAGCTTGTACTGTTCTTTTATTAATCAGTTCTGGAAATGTCTTCCTCAGCTTGTGGTCACTTCAGAGTGGGATGAGTACTTTCCAGGTGCAAATGTGGGATGCTGCCCAGTTACCAAAAATGACTAGGCTACGTTAATCACCTCGTCTCCTTCTGTCTTTGAAAGCCATGCATGAACTGCAGGCAGCTCTACTTACTGTTTTCATGGGTGCTAATGGCTAATTCTATACATATTTCTGGTCTTCTGGGTCTGAAAAATTTGGCGTGAAATTATATAATGTTCTTTACTCCCCAAGGATGTGTGTGCATACAGGCACAGTGCCCTGTAAAGAATGTCAGTACCCAGTGGCAGAGGAGGCGCTGGCAGCAAATACCGTTTATCTGTCCCCTTTCGCACCACTGGTAGAATGACAGTAGTTCTGCTATATATAGCACTTCTGTAGCGTAGATGGTGACTCAGTAAGGACACCTATTTTAAAGCAAATTATTCAGACTTATTCATCATACTTTGTGTATGACTTTTTATGGAAGCATCTCAAAGTATTTAAAAGTTAAGTTTCATTAAAATCTTCCTGAGGTAAGAAGTATAACTGTTTCTCAGAAAAGATAGTTCAGTCAGACTGAGTTAGTGTTTCACTCCTCTTTATGTAATGACAAGTGTCTCTGCAGAGCTGGGAATTAGAACTCGAAGCCCGGCTTTCCACTGCGCTCTTCTGTACTTTGAGCTATCACGCATGACTTTATCAGGAGTAAAAGTGTAGAACATAATGTTTAGTGCAATAATAATTACCCTGACAATTTAATTATTTGGTTTCGAAAATGCACGTGGTTTCTGTCATGTATACAATATGAATTTAATAGTTTGGGTGGCCTGCTTTTGCAAAAATGTAGAAGAAACTAAGTGCTGTTGTTATTGGGTTATGTTTGTAAGAATTCAAATACGTCCCACTTAAACCACTTCTCTCCCACAGTGTTCTCTTCGCTGAGTCTCGGCCTTCTTCCTGAACGCTCAGCCACTCTAATGGTCTATGACGATGTAGTCCAGATAGTCTCAGGATTTCAAGGTATGCTGGTTTTTGGAAGTCGGAATTGAAATTTGAGTGATGCTAAACAAAAAGTCTGACAGCCTGGTACTTTCTGAACTCTGTCCCGTGGGCAAGACTGGTATTTCATGGTGAGTTCTGAGTACCTCAAGGAATGCTGCTCTGTGGGATGGTTTTACCAAATTAATTAATAGGGAAATTCATCCCTAACTGCTGTGACTAGGGAATTTGAGTTACTGGGTAATAAACAAGTTTGGAGTTCAGTGTGCCATTTGAGAGCTAGAGATTAAATTTCTTTTGCTATCTGTTGGATGTTTTTTCATCTAGCCTAGTTTAACCATTCTTGCAGTAAACATTTTCTGATTTCTTATTGTCTAAGAATTTTCCCTGGTTTTATTTTGTTTCTTGCTTCCTACTGTGAGTGCCTTAGAAATTCAGGGTAGAGAAAAATTGAAAATTTCTCATATCTGCATTGTTCTATACTCTAGATAAACTTGCTTTTCTTAAGTACTTTCTGTGGACCCCTTATCAGACTGCCTGCAAACCCACATACTACAGGATGAAACCCATTGCATTAGAAGAATAAAGTTTGAATCATCTTTTTGTAAAGCCAAACACAGAAGTTAAAGCAATTGTAGTATCAGTCAGATGAACACTCTTTTCTGAATTGCTCAGTAAAGAATAAAACGTTCATCTGACCTAGGGATCTGACATAACTTAGCCTAATTGATGTGATAGCTGAGGTAAGTCTGCTAACAAAAGAACGAGTTTTCAAAGGTACCTTGCTGAGCCAAAACAAGGGGACATACTTCCTGTGAGCACTTCTATTGTGTATAGACTGTGTCTTATTCACATCTATTATGATTACCATCATTTTAAACTCTACCAGATAGTTAATAAACAGAGGAATACTTCCTTCAATAATATTCCAAGATAACCTTGTTTTATCTGAGGGAATATAATACAGTTGTGCCTTCCTGACATCTTTTTTTGTGATTAGAAACCATCCAGACACAATAGCCTTTTTGTTAATGATAGCACTAGATAACAACTGGAGCTGAAATACACTGAACAAATTAGGTAGCTGATGGAATGCTCAGAAGGAGCTGGAGAAAAGCACCACCACTGTATGTATATTCTGCAATTGAGAGCTGACATTATCTATCGGGGTAAATTAGATGGATGGTGAACTGTGTTAAACCATAAGGGATTCCATTAAACAAAACATGAAACGTTGTTTACCGACAGTATCCTACTAGCATGCTGTATTAAATCCTCTTATTCTTATGCAAATGTGCTAATATTATGCAATTAACTTAAAAAGAAGGATCTTTTCGTGTTTACAGCTTCCTCACTTCACAAAAACAGAGGATGTTAAAGGGCTAAAGGGACATTTAACAGCTGAGTGACACTTGAATATTTTCCACATAATCTTACTCCCTTCAGTGAATTGATCTAGGGTGTTCCAAATATATTTAAATTAGAATAATATAACTGGTTCTGCTGCTGTAGGAGAGAAAGAGGATGAAGGAAGAAAATGGTATCTGGAGTATTCTAAGAGTTGGAATTTGAACTCTCAGTCTTGCCCAGTAAAAACTATTTTATGGGACCAGCCCATGCTCCTTTTCTTGGGAATTCTCTTGTGATGAAATGTAAATGAAAGACAGCCTAGACATTCTACCACGAGGAAGAGCCCCTCTAGTCTCGATCCAAAATCCTTGTGACCTAGTTTTTCTCTGTTACTTCTCCTATTTATTTCCCAGTAACTTTGAGCTGCTTCAAAAGAAGCTGATTAGGAGTTACCTTAGTGCAAAAACGAGCAAAACAGCACTCATTGTACCAGGAACAGACTGGGAACACTAGTGTTTGAAGCAGCAAAGGGAAAGAAAGGCCTGTCTAGTACAGTAAGTTACCAGTTGCTTTTGAATAATTAATCAAGCAAGCAACTTGTTATGCAATTGAGAAGTTTGAGTTGATGCAGCCAGCCTCATTTTCGTGATGGTTTTACAGTCTGCTGCTGCGCTCTGCCAGTAATTGCGAGGGATGGAGCTTGCCAGCCACTGGGTCATTGAAGTTATTTAATACCAACACAGTGACAAGCTGAACTTCAGCATTCAGTGAATGGGAGCTATACGGGTACCCTCTATCTGCCTCTGACATACAAGCAATCAGAGCACGAATTGATGATACTTCAGATGTTACTTCACATGGATTGAAGTTCAAATACTGGTGTGGTGCCACATATCATGCACTCAGCGTGGCAGGAGATGCCTTACAGGGACTCCTTGAGATGGTTACGTCTTCAGGTGCGTGCTGCCAGACTGGAACTGATGGCATTCGAATCATGTCTGATGTTGTTGACATGAGGATGTTTAAAGAAGATAAGATCAGTGTTCAGAAGTGGGACTTTACCTCATGGCACTCAAGAAGTGGGAGAGAGCTCACATGCCAATTTTACATTTCAACATGTTTGGGTTTTGTTTGTTTTTTGTAAGTCAAAACTGGGTATCTTCAATAACAGAAGCAATAATAATAATCCATTCCCAGTATCAAGTATTGACTTGTTGAAAAATATTCTGAGAGTCTGGTCAGCACAAGTCTTTCTCTCCATTTTACCACTTCCAATTCCCTCAATAAGTCTATTCCCAAACAGAAGCCAAAAATGCTCTATGACCTCGCTGAAGGAGTACATTGGGTTATCTTCTAAGCAAGGTGGTGGGGGAAGGTGCAAGTATTGGTAGCTGCTTCCCTCACAAGCCTTTCTCTGATAGCTCCTGACCTTCTGCTCTTTGAAGTCTCTTGCCAGGTTTGGGGAGACCCAAGTGAGGAGCCAAGGGGAGAGTCAGACTGAGTGGCAGGTTTTAGGTGAATATCAGTATCAGGAGTTTTGTTTGTTAATCTAGGGTGTGAATTAACTACTCTGCACCAGGATTTTTTATATATATATATGCACTGTCTACACAGGAAGCTGTTTCTTCCACAACTTCTATCCGAGTTGATTGCTGCACAGGTTTCCTGCCAGATGTGGGGCTTGGCCATAAGAATGCTTTGCCTTGCCTGTAGCATTCAAGAAACTGAGATTGGCTTTCTGAGTCTCCCCTATCTAGTTAAAATTCGGCAGCTGGTGGCTCTCCCAGTGCTACAAAGCAACCAATTTTTATGGCAAACCCCAGAGCCTCCCATATAAACTACTGTGTTACAGACCCAACAACAGTTACTGTGTTTTGAATTCTTAATTAGTTTGACTTTTCGGAAATACAATACCAGTTCTTGGCAACTTGAATAATTCATCTTAACTAGAGATTAAAACAACAGAAAATCCTACAATTTTACATGGAACTGTTAATGATAATCCTAATGCCAGTTCTTTGTTGTGTTTTTTTCTTTTTGTTTTGTTACTGTAAATGCTTATCCCTATGGGCTGTAGGCATCCACCCAGCAGTGCAGTTAGAGGTTCCCGAATGCTTGAGCAGATCTGTCCCTGAGGTACAACAAACTAATACAGTATTGCAGAGCCGCTGGGAGATAAGTCTTCCCTGAGTTCATTGCAGTCTATTTATTTAGTCTTTTACGTTGTTTTCCATTTAAGCCTAGAAATTGGGTAAGGGAGATTTCTTCCCATTTCACATGGTTGTTGGTTAATGACTGTCTTAAAAACTTAAGAATACTGCCAATCTTGAGAGCCTGCTGTAAATACTTACATGTTTCAGAAATTAAAAAGGAAAAGTGGTTTTATAGCTTTTTTCTTGCAGAATTACCGAATAAATGACAGCTAAACAATGATTAGCTCTTTGGAGACGCTTGCCTGCCTACATAGCAATTTCTGTTGGCCAATACAAAGTTTGTTCTGTGGAATTTTATGTTTTCTCATTGCTAGAGCTCCTGCTAGAAAATAATGCAAGAAAAGATTCCAGTCTCCTGGTTAATGACATTGGCAGTTATAAAGCTTAGGAGTTGTGAGTCAAGCTCTTTAATCTTTCTCGCAGTGAAGTTACGTGTAATCTAGAAGTGCTGCCAGAGACTAATGGGGGAAAAGAAGCAAAATTGTTCTGAGTTGACATCTTTGAACCGCATAGTCAAATGTGAATTAAGAAAAAAAGCTGTTTGCCTCTAGATTTTGTGCTGTGTGGGCAGTGTTCTGTAAGCACTCAAAATGAGCTCTGGAGAATACAATAGCTTTTGATTTAAAAATTAATTTGCATGTTGCACACACAAACTTGCAGATGGAGTCTTGCTGTGTGTTGCTAAACAGTATTAATGGTGAGCATCCATTGGGAAAGGCTATTGACTTATAAACCGGGATTTAAATGAGACATGAAATGAATGCCATAGTACGTGAAACAGTCTTAAATCATGTTGCAGTTAAGACTCTTCAATTAACACCTAGTGATCTTGAAAAAACACACTAAAACTGTACAAGACAGAGGAAAAGAGAGAAATCTTACATGCCAGGTAATCTGGTTCTGGTTAGATGTGTTCTTTGCATGGGAAAATATGGAAACTCTTTTGACCCAAGCTTTGTCAAGTGAATCTTTTTATCCAGTGGTTAAAATAAAAAGTGACTTATTATCTCAATATCAGAGATAGTTAACTTGGCCAAAGCTTTTTAAAAATTAAATATAGAAATTACACAAGTTAATTGGGACTACAGGCAGATTTATATCTTAGAAAATCACTTTAAAGAGTATAAACTACATTTATCCTGCTAGTTCAGGAGAAACAAAACAAATATGGTGAACTGGATGCTTTTCTAAGCTTTCACATGCCCTACCTCTGAACTCAGTTTTAATTTCAGTTATATTCATTAAAAGAAGCATGTAATGAAATTGGAGGTGATCTGGGGAAATAACGTAGTCAGAAAGATTCTGACATAAGGTGCCTTCACAATTTTTCTCTGTGATACTTGTGGAAAAATAATGGCAACTGCAAAATAAATGTGAAAATACTGATTTTCCTTCTCTTTCATAGTAGCTTTCTGATGTTTCCGTCTTTCTCAAGCTATTGTAATTTATAACGAAAAAAACTTGTAAATGTGCTTCTGTAAATATGAACACCTAACTATTCTGCTCTCCTTGGATATAAAGTCACTTTCATTTTTTTCAGGTGCGCGGATTCAGCCACAAGTTCACTTTCAGAGAAGATCTGTGAAATTACCAGAGAACACTAGCTACAGTGATTTGACAGCATATCTGACTGCAGCCAGTTCACCCTGGGAAGTGGACAGTTTTCCTTATTTGCAGGGATTAGATGGAAATGGAACAGGTAACCCATTGCTTTGGTTTTACTCTGATTTCATATTGGTCCGAGGATCGACTTTTTACCATATAATTTTTTCCATTCTTCATTCCAGCAAACATTCTTTAGGATTTGGGTGATGTGATAAGTTCAGCTGCCCTACCAAAATGCTGTTCCAATAAGCGAGAGCAAGGTCCTCTGTTCCTTAAGTGGGGCCACTGAATAGTGAAGATGAAGACTCCTTGGCCTTGGGAGATCAGAAAAGTTTGTTACACTTGTAATTTAGAGCTAATTCTCCATACGTGTCACACATGCACATAACGAGAATGGAGATTAACATGAAGGGACAGAAGAGAATTTGATTTGTGGATGCCGTAGAATTCTTATTCATTTTTTTTGAAAAAATAAATAAAATGCCTATATATCAAGGATTTATACTCTGTTGTTTAAGCTAAGAGTTGTTTCAATGGCTTTGTTAATACATTTGAATACATTTTTCAGCCAAAAATGTGCAAATTCACCTAGCACCAAAGGGAAATCAATAAAAATTTGTAGCAGAAACAAAACCACTGTTAAATTCAAAGCTGTAATCCCTTTTTATGACTGCAACTGCCTGTTACTCTTCTTCCACTTCTCATTTAGTCTTGATTGAAATAATTTGTGTTGTGTAGGCTAGAGAAAAACAGAAGAATTAGGCACAGAAGTCTTCAAATCCTTAAATGCTGGTGTGAAAAGGAGAATGACATTTTCTCTGTGTCCATATTGGGTTAGAAAGCAAGCAGTGAACTTGCAGTGCAGCAAGAGAGATTCAGACTAGTGATTAGGAAAACCTTGCTATGGTGAGGAGAGTTTAAGATGTAGAATCAATTGCTTGAGGGTGTTGGACAGAGTCAGACAATCACCTGCGAGGATGACATAGGCGTAGCTGAGCCTGCTTTGAAGCAGGCTAAATAACCCCTTGGGGCCCCTCCCTGCTGTTTCTCAGGATGTAATGACTTGTGATGTGTTGATCTAGGTGACTTTGAATGCTAGGTCATGTGTGTAAACAGCATGTACTAAGCTTGGTAGCTTTTAAAAAAAAAAACAAAAAAACCCTTCCCCTTCTCTTTGTACAAATCTGAATATCTCCTTTTCTATTACAATTAGAAATGTGTCTGCTACCTTACTCAAATCCTTCTGTCTCCTTCAGTGGGTATATCTCATCCTATCTCATTCTGTATTTCTGTCATGTCCCTGTTCTCATCTTCAACCTTCAGTTTTCTCTGGCTCTTCATACTCAGACATGATCAAATATCTCTTTATCTGTTCTAAAATGAAGGAATGCACTTGATCTCACTCATCTGTCTACTTCCTCATCTCCTTTCTTTTTATCTCTAAACCCACTGAACAAACTGTTGACAATGTGTGTGGGATTCCTCTCTCCTAAATCTTTCCTTAGTACTCTGCAACCAAACTTCCCACCCTGGCATTTATTTAATGAAAACAGGTTTTGCCAAGGTGTCAGATATCACCTCTCATGGGAACTGCACAACCAGGACATCATCTTTCTCTTGTTTTACCTCCTAGCCTCCTACAAAACAGATGAATGCACCCTTGGTTTTTTAGTCTTCTGTATGTTTACATTATGGAAACTTTTCTACTTGAGCATGGGGGCCCTGGATTTGACTTTTATTAGCGTTCAAGCAAAAGCATGTCACAAAAGTCTGAAATGACCAGCAAAGAAATGGAATTTAAGAGACTGAGAAGAGCCTTGTTTTCTGAAAACTGTAGTATTCAGTATGGTATAATATAAACTATACATACAATATATTTGTGTATGCACTCTAGTATAGGTGAAATGTCCTCCATTTTTAGTAGAAGTTTCTCCTGCTGTGGAAACATGGAACTTTAAAATCCTAAACTTGGATTGACTTCCTTTTCTTCATCTCCAAGTGACTTGGTGAAGATTTCACCTGAAGAACTTTTGAAGGAATGGAAAATGAGATCACCATCTGCTGGGGATTCTTTAATACTTCCGCTCTCAAGAGAAAAAGAAAAATATGTACAAATTGAATTCTAAAAAAAAAAACCAGCATTAATTTGCATGGGAAATTTTGGGGTGTTCCTGAACACTGCCTCTTCTCCCCTCTCTCGCATGTCTCCTTCCCCTCAATTACTGCTCTGTTGTTTCACAGTTTATTTACAAGTCTGTACAGTTTTGGAGAGGTCCTCCCATTTGTTTCAATGCTTAGTTCTCTGGCTTGTATTTATCCAGAGTGGCTTTACACTTGTTTTAACTGAAACCTATTCTCTACGAGTTGAACAGTTTTCACAAAATCCCAACTGGATGTTGAAGTAGTAATATGGAGCCGTGAAAATTAGCATGTTCCAAATATAAAAATTCAAAGAATTTAGCTACAAGTAGTTACAAGCCTGTATAGTGTTAGCTTATTGTTTGTATTAATCACCAATTGGAGAGCGGTAGGATGGTTTCAAAAAGTCTTGTGCTTTTAACCAAACTAAACAAAATTTTCCATGGTCTGCAGTAATGGACCAAGCTGGCTAATAATCATTACTCCTGCTGGTTTTGTAGGCTGTTTGTTTCTTTATAAAAAGTCAAGTCTTAAGTCACAGTGGATTTTCCTCTGATTATTTTTACAGCTCTCAAAAATTACAAGATATAATTGAAAGCTGTCATTTATTGAAGGCAGTTCCCATTTAATCTGTGTGTGTGCTTATCAGTTTTATAGCGTAAGAGTTTCATAAGCACTGATTTTCATTTGCCTTCACAACAGAAGAGAGAAAAATTTGTCTTTTTAATGAGCATTTATGTACTGTGCAAGGTGGCAAACTGAAGGATTATTTCTTCTTGCCAGAGGTCAGTGGATTTCAGAAATTTCTTCATCTTCTAATATAACTTGTTTAGCCCAGTACTGAGCAAAGTGTCAGTGCCTCTTAAGTAAAAAAGATGCAAACAGTGTTTCACCATCCGAATGCTTTTTCTGGGGCTGAAAACTCATTTTTACAGCTATTAGTCAAATATACTTTATCAAGATAGTAATGAAAGAAAAATTCTAAGCCTTCAGTATCTAAAAATAAGTAGAATATAAAACATATTTTCATATTAGATATTAGTCTAAATGTTTCTGAAATCTGAAGTTATACCTTTTGTCATTAGGATATGCCAGAATGTGGTCAGGTTATGATACATAGCAACAGGAATTTATTACTCTGATACCAGCCTGAGAAACTTAGACGCCCAAGTCCAGTGACGTGGAGACCAGCATCAACCTGACAGAAGATAGAGGTGCATGGCAGAGGCAGTGCATTGGACGATCAGGAATAAGGGAACCACTTTCTCCCCACTAATTGCCTCCTCTATCTCTCTGTTTCGTATTCTAAGGCTGGAAGGGGATGGCATTGTGCACTATTGGAGCCTGTAATGTACAAACGCTTGGGCAGCCTGGCAACCTTCCCCTATGCCCTAGCTGAATTTCCAAACCCTATTTTTCTGTTTTTTCTCACAGTTGGCTCTGTGGCTCTCTTATATGGCCACCTTCAGAGTGCCTGTTTTCCCAGCACTTTAGTCCTTCTGGGAGACATGCTTCTGCCTCACCGTTCGCAGTGGGTCGAAGCAGCCTGCATGCTCCTTCCGTGTCCGCTGTGCAACCATGACACTCGCCTTGAAATCTGGGAAAAATGTGCCTCAGACTAGATGCTATAGTAAATAAGCCTCATGCAAAGTTACTTCTGGTTATTTTCCACGTCTTTAGTTTGGCACCTCTTGCAAAATCCGAAGAATTTCAAATTCTGAGGAGTTTTGTCTCTTCCCTTTACCACTTCCCCTCTCCACTCCCTTTCCTGGTGATGTCTTAACTTTGGTGAGCTGTTACTCAGAGACATTGAATTTGATAAAGGCCATTCCTTGAGACTTACTCACTGTTAAGAGAAATCATAAAGATCTTAATTCTTTCCCACCATTCCTTCGAATTTACTCATCCTAATGAGTGCTGTCCCTGGATACTGCATATTCCTGAGGATCCCTTGTTGTGCCTTAGCGTCGCAGGCGGCATACCACTGTTGGTGCAAATGGGATTTTACAGGTGGTTTACACTGATGTAAGGCACCAGGATTACAGGAGGGGCAGTACCCCGTGCTCAGCCATCCAGGCACCCCTGTTCCTTCTCTTAGATCTGCCCCACGGGAGGATGAGCAGCTGCACGGCCCCCAGAGCCAGCGCAAAGGAGGCGGCAGGGCTGCAGCTGCTCCTGGCAGCAATGTGGCCCCGGGTGGCTCAAGCCCCAGGGGGAATTGGAAGCTCCATTTCTTCCGATTTAAACTACTACTGCTATTGCTTTGAGCTGCAGAGCTCCTTGGTTTTAAACCTTAAGCTTTTTTCCCCCTGAATACACACCTATATATCTGTGGTATTTTTCCCTGTCCTTGATTCAGTTGGTTAAACGGTTGAAAGTTTATAACGCTTCTTAAAATCACGTTGTCGTGAAGTAACATACATTGGCATGCAGTTTAAACATAAAAAATAATCATTATCTTACATAGATAAGAAGATAACACTGTGTATCCTAATAATCCATTTAGCTTGGTTTATTTCAGTGAAAGGCCAAAGGAAATACGTCCTGGCATTCTTAAACATATGACCGATCATCCTTGCAGTGTCACTGCGTGTTTGGGTGTTAGTTGTAACATGGGCATGTGAGGCTGTAATAAAGGCTTGTGAGATTTTTCTTTTGCCATGATTATGGCTATGATACTCGTACATATTTATTTAAGATTAATTAAAGATGAGAAAATATGTACAGGAGACTTTTGCATTGTAGTTTTCTTGTCTTCAAAATTTTCCAAAATTAAGTGAAAAATAAAGAAGCATATAAGTTTTTCTTGTGAATTTTGCAAGGCAGGGAGGATTACTGCTACCATCCCTTGAGAAATATGTTGGTGCAGTACTGCGGTGTTGAACCACATGGGTGCATCTTAGATTCTGGGAAATTCTGTAGTCACAATGTTCATTCATTCTCTCGGTAGGAAACAGCACTAGGTATGACCTCACCCCGGTCACTGCAGTCAGCGTTCATCTCCTCAACAGCGATGGGACTCCAATCCCCGTGAATGGCCCCATCTATGTCACAGTGCCTCTGCCAACAAACAGCAACTTGAAGCACAATGCACACGTTCCAGCATGGAGGTTTGACCAAAAATTTGGTAGGTAATATCTCACTGTGGTTCCCTAGATGGCTTCATTAGTCTGAAACTAATATCTCACTGCATTTATTATGTTAATATAGCAAAGTCTTCACTGGAGTGTACAGACAGTGGTTTTGGTCTGAAAGTAGAGAAGACTGAGTTTTATTCATCAAGTAATACATAGTATATATGAAAACATACCTGAGTAGCATTGTGTGCCCCTTCTAAGACAAATTTTTTTTGTTAAAAAATGTACCATTTTGCAGTTACTAAATATTTTATGTAAAAACTATCTTGAGAGAACTTGATTTCACCCACAGACTGAGAAGCACAGAGACGTATTCACTACCGCATTGAATTGGAAGTCTGAAGAAATGGAAACTAGCCTTATCTTTGCCAGCAGCCAGCTATCTGACCTTTGGTCCGTCTCTTGTCTCTAGCTTGGTTTCCTGCCTGTCAGATAGGAAACATAATACTGACTTCTTTTGTAAATCGCTTTGAGATTGACTAATACTATCAAGAAAGAAAGTACATGTAAATTATTTTTTTTAAAAAAAAAAGCAGCAAGCAAAATTAATGAAATATTTTGAAAGGACAGAATGACTAATCAATATACACTGTAAAATGCACTCAGTTTTTACGTTGCAGGATAACATTTGCTATTGTGAACAGGAATTTCTCCAGAAATATGTGGTTTAGGGCTCTCTATTTTTGTTTTGGTTTATTTTTTCATTGCTAGCTGGTATACCGTGCTGGCCTTCTTTTACACCTTCAAAGTGTGAAGGATTAAGGGGTGCTGTCATGGTTTAACCCCAGCCGGCAGCTAAGCACCACACAGCCACTTGCTCACTGCTCCGGCAGTGGGATGGGTAAGAGAATCGGAAGGGTAAAAGTGGGACAACTCATGGTCTGAGATCAGGACAGTTTAATAGCTAAAGCAAAAGCCACGCACACGCAAGCAAAGCAAAACAAGGAATTCCTTAACTGCTTCCCATGGGTAGGCAGGTGTTCAGCCATCTCCAGGAAAGCAGGGCTCCATCACACGTAATGGTGACTTGGGAAGACAAACAGCATCGCTCCGAACATTTCCCCTTCCTTCTTCTTCCCCCAGCTTTATGTGCTGAGCATGACATCAAATGGTGTGGAATATCCCTATGGTCAGTTGGGATCAGCTGTCCCAGCTGCGTCCCAGCCTCTTGTGCCCCCCCAGCCTATTCACTGGTGGGGTTATGTGAGAAGCAGAAAAGGCCTTCACTCTGTGTAAGCACTGCTCAGTGATAACAGAAACATCGCTGTGTTATCAACACTGTTTCCAGCACAAATCCAAAACATAGCCCCATGCTAGCTACTACGGAGAACTCCATCCCAGCCAAAATCAGCACAGGTGCATAAGTCTCGTCCTGGTGATTCCCCTTCAGTTATTGCACTGTGCCTTCAGAAGTATGTGCCAAGTGGTTGTTAAGAAAAAGAAGGGTAAAAAAGATGGAAAGTGAGAAAGGTAGATGCTGTGAGGAATACAGGAAGAAAAAGGAGCCAGAAATGTGCATCTGTATAGACAATCAGTGGGCTTTAGTTCCCTGCAAGGCAAATGTTTTAAGTCAATTTATGATCGTATCCAGAAGTAGAGCAACGAGCATGAAACCAGTGCGTTGGAGGAAGGGAGGTTTTTTTTTGGTGAAGCAGGAAATAACATTTTTTGCTTCCTTCCTGCCTCTGTTTGCTGAAGAAGGTGATGTATTTTCAAATAGCATGCCTGTACATTTTTTGCCAGAAGTTGGCTGTATTAGAGAGTAAAGCAGTTAGGATTTAATGAAGAATAAGTTTGAAGGGGATGTAAAATTGAATGGTAGAAAAAGAGTGCAATGGGTGGATTTGGGGTTTCCCTTAACTGTAGAAACCTCACTTTGCTTGTGGTGCCCTGGCAGTAAGTTTCACTACATCTCCAACTCTTCCTTTTAGCTGTGTTACATAGTTGCAGCCACCTCATTGCTAGTTACTCACGGCTAGTAAAATGGTTCTAATTTGGATTATTTGTGGCCAGATTTCCATGCCCCTGCTGCAGGGCCACAAAAGCTCTCTCTTACTAAGGAATATGGTTTTTACTATTGCATTATAAAGGCCTAGTTACCCTATTGTGTGCAGTACTTATTAGTATGGATCAATATGGAGTAGTTAATTTAGCATTGCAGGCTTGAGGCTCTCGATCTTGAGACAAGTTCAGCCTTGTTCCTTCATGACAAACTGCTGGAGCACTTGTGGTGTTGGGAGGGGAAGGCGTGAGGACCACTATACAAAAAGGGGTTTTGTCAGGTCACTTAGCTTCACAAAGCCATGGAGACATTATGCTTAGGCGCCAGCTCGCACTTCAGCTGAAGTAAGCATCTTTCTGTACAGCTGAAGATGTTGAACAAAGATGCATTTAAGCCCTGACTGCAGCATGCCAGTTCTAGCAGAATTTTGGCCACATCTCAACCAATTTAAATTAGAGTAGCCTAATTTAATAAGTAGAGCAGCCGCTCTATCTTGTGCGGGCTACATTAGCACCCTAAGGGCTGTCAAACTAGCCATCGGTAGTGCGAACATGGTGGTGGTACTCTGTCATTCCCCGTCCCTGCTGTGCTTGGACTGTGAAGGGAGGAGGATGGATGATGACTGGGATGGCTACATGCTGGAGAAATCCTTATCTGGCAAAGAAGTTGTTGTAACCCGTTTGCACTGCCAGATCTGTGCCTTGTCAGGATAGGAGCTCTAACCTCATTATTCCGATTTTGTCTTTCATTTCAGGAGCTGCTTTTTTCAGTGCTAGTTACGTTGTGGTCTCTCCATAATAGATTTTCAGTGGCTTAAATTTTCACACTTGTATTCGAAAATTGAGTAAATGCCAGAGATGGAAAACTATGACTGTATTACCAGGCAATAATGCAGTGCTTCTCTCTAGTGTATTAGCAGTACAGTGGGCACTTGTTCGTACAAGCCATTGTTTTTGTTTAGAATCCATGTAGTTGTCATCATTACTGCATGAAGTATAATTTCTGCTCTAAAAAGCTGAACTACTTTTCACTTCTAGGGGAGGGAGTCAAGAAGGGTCAGAAATAGTAGATATATATTTTAATCCTTAGAATCTCATACGTTTTGCTGAGCTCATGATGTACTAACATAAACCCAGTGGCATCTGATTCGAAGTGCAGATATTTTCATAGTTTCTACAGAAATTATGCATATTTGCATATTATGGCAGCCAAAAATAATTAATGGCTTTTTAGGTTGTTTACCATAAACAATCTGTATTTTCATTACCACAGTCTCTGTCCTCGAGACAGAACCAGGGAGAGAAGGGGGAGAAGCAGCATATAGTCTACTTAAGGCTGAGGGTGGCTCCATTGACACTGATGAAAGAGAGAGCCAGAAGAAGCAAGCTGACGTCAAAATAAGACAATCTGCTGCATCTGTTTTATACTGTTCCAAATGAGATTTTTCGTTACAAAACAAACTTACTGCCTTGCGTGCACAGCAAGCAAATTAAAGCAGTAATACCTTTTTGAATAATTAATAAAATGAAGAGCAACTAACTATGCCCTGGAGAAGTTTTAGGATAAACGAGTACATCCAGCCTTGTTCTTGTGTTGGAGATGTGCTCCACCACCTTTTTCTGTGGCATTTCTTGGTGTTGGTAATAATAACCACAGATGCATTGATGTTATGGAGATGTATACACTAAAACAGAACTTAATCATTCCATGCTGCTGACGTACCCATATCTCTTGTGTTTCACACTACTGTGGGAGAGTGGTTTTATTTCATGGTACACACTTAAAGGTCTGAGCATAAAGAGGTATGGATTCCCATTTTTAGAATCAGGATCACTCAGTGGGGTTTTCTGCATTGTTGGCTTTTTTTTTTTCCCAAGCACTGTCTTATTTTTCTCAAAATCTGAAAGGGCTGAAAAACTTTATTTTTCTTTGTCCATAAACAGGTGTTTGGGATCATGACTTCCTCCCTGTGTATGTGCCTTGATGTCCGTAGAATTTGCAGCATAATAATTAATCTCTCTGTTCTTGGAGACCAAATTTCTGTCCAAGATAGCCTTGTCCTCTCCAGTCAGAAATGAATACTACAGATCCCAGCAGAAATTAAACTTTGTACCTCCTGTATCATTTCCAGCTCCCGCCAGCTGGACTGAGTAACACAGCACTTGCTCAGCTGTATTCTCCTCAGCCTCCATTTAAATGATTCATGCTTTATGTTAAGGTGTCTGTTTTTCATTGGATTCAGTGAGCAAAACTGAATGAGACCAGCATTCTCCATTTTAAGTGCTCAGTTTCATCTCATGTGGTATGGGGGCATCATGTTGCATCTAGACCTCTAGATCCACATCAAAAGCTGTATGAAAGACTTAAAAATATTACCAAATATTCCAGAATGCATAATGTGGAAATGGAGTTTTTTCTTCTGTGACAATATCAATGCATCTGCTAGTTTATTGATCCCACCAAAGAACAGGAAAATATTTTCAACACTGTTTTCAACCTTGTGTGGCAAGGACTCTGGAGTGAAGGGGTTAAATTTTCACTCTTTTGCTCCTCCTCCTAAAAATGTGTTATTTCTTTTGCACTATGTGTAAATGAAGTTGAGAGTACTGTTTCTCTGTTCTTCATCCTCCCTGAACACTTGGTGTACATCTTTGACGTAACCTTGTTGTCTTTAAATGAGTAGCTTCTTTACAGAGGAAGATGTTTCCCCAGTGCCTGAAATCTCAACCATGCATTAATGTAAAGTAATGGCAGAATATGGAGAAGAGTATCTTGGGGAGTTCTTTTTATAGCTTTGTAAAGCACAATGCTTGTTGTACTCTGCTGTACCTGGTCTGTGCTTTCTACCCGCATTTAATGCCATAGTAGATTTCTAAATACATTTGAAAGTCTGGTACTTACTTTTTCTGCGTGATGTCCTGCCTTCAGTTGGTAAAATTTCCATCGATTTGTGTAGAGTCAGAATTTCCTGATGTTCTTTGCTCAGCA